CGGTGTTAAGACGCGAGCCACGGCAAATTTCTGCTTATTCACTTGTTTTGTAAGCGAAATTAAACCAAAAACAGTGGCAGAGGCTCTAGCAGATACCTTCTGGGTTGATGCAATGCAAGACGAGCTAGTTTAGTTCGAAAGAAACCAGGTATGGACACTTGTACCTCTTCCAACTGGGAAGCTTGCTATTGGCACCAAGTGGGTTTTCCGTAATAAGAAGGATGAGCAAGGGGTGGTGGTAAGGAACAAGGCAAGGTTAGTTGTTGAAGGGTATTGCCAGGAAGAGGGTATTGACTATGAAGAAACTTTTGCTCCTGTGGCCAGACTAGAAGCTATTCGTATCTTTCTAGCATTTGCAACTGACAGAGAGTTCAAAGTATTTCAAATGGATGTTAAGTCAGCCTTCTTGAACGGCAAACTCAAAGAAGAGGTATATGTCAAGCAACCCCAGGGTTTGAGAGTGATAAGTATCCAAACCACGTCTATTTCTTAGACAAGGCTCTGTATGGTCTCAAGCAGGCTCCCAGAGCATGGTATGATCGCTTGTCCAACTTTCTTACTTCCAATGGGTTTCACAGAGGTACGACAGATATTACTTTGTTTTATAAGAAAATGAATGATGATATCTTGCTCGTACAAATTTATGTTGACGACATTATCTTTGGTGCAACTAACGTTTCGATGTGCAAAGAATTTGAGTTCTTTATGCAGAGTGAATTTGAAATGAGCATGATGGGAGAGCTAACCTTTTTCTTAGGTCTACAAGTAAAGCAATCAGCCGAAGGCATATTCATAAATCAATCCAAATATGTTCATGACCTGTTGAAGAAGTACAAAATGCTCGACGCTTCTCCCCTGAGGACTCCCATGGCTCCAGGCCAGAAACTTAATAAGGACATTAATGGTCCACCTGTAGAGTGCAAGCTCTACAGAGGCATAATTGGATCCCTCTTGTATTTAACTGCTAGTAGGCCTGATATCATGTTTTCCACGTCTATATGTGCCAGGTATCAGGCTAATCCTCACATCTTAGGGCAGTTAAGAGAATCCTACGTTATTAAAAGAAGACACCAACTCTGGGACTATGGTACCCTCTGCATTCAAATATTGATCTAGTGGCATATACGGATTCAGACTATTGTGGATGCCAAATTGACAGAAAGAGCACCTCTGGGTGCTACCAGTTTCTTGGAGGAAAACTAGTGATTTGGTCTTCAAAGAAGCAGAACTGTGTCTCAACTTCCACAGCAGAGGCTGAATATGTTGCTGCTGCAAGTTGTTGTTCACAAGCTCTGGGGATACAGACCCAACTACGTGACTACGGCTACGCTGTCAACAAAATCCCCATCCTCTGTGATTCAAAGAGTGCTATTGCAATTTCAGCCAATCCAGTACAACATTCTAAGACAAAGCATATCGACATAAGGTACCATTTTCATAAACATCAAGTTGAAGAAGGTAATGTTGAGTTATACTTTGTAAAATCAGAATTTCAATTGGCTGACCTCTTTACTAAAGCCCTAGATGAGAAAAGGTTCAATTTCCTTGTAGAGAAAATATGAATGACATGTCCAGAGTCCTAGTTGATGGTTGTCTTATTCTTTATTCTTTATTGTATAAAATTTTCTTTTAAATTTCATTATGTGTATAATTTTATTTATTGAATAACCTTTCACTTGATTTTATAGTTAAACAGGTTTAACCTTGCAGAGACTTGCAAGGTTTGAGGGGGAGTATCTTCTTTCAAAATAATAAAACCTCTTGAAGAAGAAAAACATTTTTAGTCACAGGATCTCTGTGATCACTTGCACAGGCTCTTTGAACGGACCCTCTGTCGACACTTTTTCTTAGGATTTTAAATGTTTTTTTTTCAAGGGGGAGCCATGGAAGCTGGCTCAGAGGGGGAGTTTTTGAAATGAAAATCAAACCACAGAAGGTGCCAAAACATTTGAAGTATCTTGTTCTCAGAGGTCAATTCATCAGAACCTCTGGCGCTTCTAACAGAGGCTATGTGGATTTGAACTGAGCAAGTACTCATCTCTCTGTGGATTTTCAAAACCGTTTAGGTAATAAAAAGGTGTAACATTATAAGAAGGCCTGACACATATCACAGAGGCTCTGTTACCCTTAGGCCTCTAACATAACTCTCTTAATAGTTCTTGTATATTGATATGGTGTGCGTGGTTCTGTGGATAAGGGTTAGAACAAACACGTGCGTGTCAGAAAAGGGGGCGCACATCATCAATCGCGCGTCTTCCCAACATGGCGTGTCATACCTTTTGAGCCGTTTCATCCTAAAACCACTCATCACGACCTTTTGTCAATAAAACGGTTCAATTCAAATTTCCTCACTATAAATATCCCTTTCCCAAATAAAAAACCTTTACCACTCTCATATTCTCCGGCGAACCTCTCAAGCAAAACCTGCAAAAATGTCTTCCTCCTCAGCATCTGCTCAATCAGTCAACGTCTCTAGTGACAACGAAGTCACACAGGCCCAAGCTCTAACGTCTCACGCCCTATCCTTCGTCCAAAACCGATACGAGAAGGTCGTGCTCGTGAAAAAGCCCAACAACTACTACTTTGTTCCTTCAACTACAGGTTTCCCTGAATTTACTTTCTTTACTAGTAATTCTTCACAACCATCCTCTCTTCTATGCCCTATCAGCCACCAAACCAACCCCTGAGTCCTATATAACCCAATTTCTCTTAAGTTCTTACATAAAAACATTGGACAACTCTGGACTGAGCATTGTGGGTTACGCCTCTCACCCTACCAATAAATCATTGGTACCCTTGGAACTAAATGTGGGCAAATTGCGAACAGCCCTACGTTTACCCACTCTGGAATCCATAAACTTGAATGCTTTTGCTGCAACTCCAACAGACGAGGAATTAATTCAATTCCTTGAATTCCATTTGTATGCGACCCAAATCGTCAAACGGACTCAGTTTAAGCGCAAAGGACTACCCCCTGTCTGGAATACCCTATTCTCAATATTAAACTACTGCTTAACAGGGAAGGTGGGAAGTCACGACCAAACCTCGCACACAATGATGTTTATCGTCTACGAAATCTACTTCAACTTACCTTTGGATTACGCACAACTTATATTCGAAGATATGGTTGGATTGATCAAAAAGAAATACGCGATACAAAGGGGAGAAAAGTCCAAGGTCAAAGCGCATAAGAAGGCCAAGGAAGACATGAACCAACCAAACTTAATTCTACAACGGTTCCTTGGTCTCATCTTTGGAGATCTGATAGCAGCAAAGCTACCCTCTGTGGAGCCCAACGCAAGGCTGTACCCGTTCAAAGAATTCCATCCAACTGAGCATGAGCAAGGGTACAGAAGCCCCAGACCCTTATCAAAAGCCATGCTCTGGTTCCTTAGTCACGGAGATAGGAAGGCCTACAGACGTGGATTCAGGAGGCCAGAGCCGGTCCCTAAGACCCCACCACGCATAGGAATCCCATTAGATGAGACAATTGAAAAAATGAGGGTTGAGGGACGAACGGAGGAGCCAGAAATGGCTGGTAAGGTGAGTGATGCTAGCCCTAGAATCCCAAGTCCCCCACCAAAGAAGACCAAGAAGACACATAATGGTGCCGACTCTTCTGTGAAGAAGAAGGGAAAGAAGAGGCCTACAGAAGAAGAGGGCCCAAGTAGTACTCTGCAGAAGCCTAAAAAGAAGAAAACCAAGAAGGCCCAACCGACAGAGGTTGTGGTGACAAAGGCTGCTGTTCCAGAGAGCCCCGCAGAGGCTACTACTCCCAAGCGCAGAAGATTGCGCAGGGTCGTACAAGAGGACTCCCCAACGGTGCAGATCCATGATGTCATTTTCAACCTCCAACAGGAGTTCAGAGCGCCAATCGACGTGACAGAGTTGGGGACAGAAGTCGTCTTAGATGAAGAAGAAGAGGAAATGGAGTTAGGAGAGGGAGAAAAAGATACCACAAGTAGACATCCTAGCCCTCCTCCCAGTGCTACCCACGCTACTAGGGGCCCTGTTCTAGAGGGATCCCCTATTGAACATGGCGTGCACACGCCAAACCCAACCCAAGCTAACCTCGCAGAGGACATTCTTCAGTCCTCTGTCGATCGCACAGCCGGGAAACCACCTCATAGTCCTTCATCCTCTCAAAAGGATGTTGGTTTTACTATAAGAGTCCCATCGCCCAAGGACTCGCCACAACCAAGAGAGGCATCTGTTGCCTCTCTACACATGAGTGACCAACCAGAATGTGCTTCAGAGGCATATGTGAGAGTCATGGCGACAGAGGGTCTAGAACGCCCAATGTCCACACTCGATCCCTCTGCCATGTTAGGGTCTGAACCTACAAGGTACGATATCGACAGAACATGGGTAGGCTCTTCTCTTGGAGACGTACGAGGATCCTGTGGAAGTCCCCGAGCAGACTATACAAAATCACTCGCTGAGGGCGCCTCTCGCTCCGAGGCTACTAGGTCACCATGTGTTGTTGATCTAGGCTCCCAGGATGCCTATGTGATGAAGGGGGAGCTTCAAACCTTCGCCACATCGGTATTCCAAAAGATGGACGAGTTAAAAAGCTTGTTCATCTCTCGCACGATGACAGAAGACCTCGCCCCCATCACAGAGGCTCTGAAGGAGTTGAGCTCTACAACGGCAGAACACAAGACAACACTCTCAACCCTTCAGAGCTCTGTCCTACAGAAGGATGATCTTGCAGAGGCGTTTAATGCTCTGACCCTCAATCCTTCTTCAATCCAGACGTTGAAGACAGAACTATCAGAGATGGCCGCCCAGTTTGCTGCTGATTTCGTCTCTGCGGGCTATACATACTACTCAACATTCAAAGACAAAATCAAGCAAATGTTCGCTTCTGCAGTCACTTACGGCATGGATACCTAGTCATCCAGGGCCAATATCAACCATCTAGCCACTCGCAGAGAGCTAGATGTGATGGTTGAAGCTCTGGGAGACATCGTGCAAAAAGATACAGATCAACTTCTTAAAGACGCCCGAGCCTCCAACACGGCGATCAGAGACCTCACTTCCCAGCTCATGAAAGAGGGAGATCTCCTTAGAAGCAAAATCTATCGAAGCGTCTCCAAGTTGAAGTGGTCGACAGAGATAGACATAAGCCACGCCTCTGTGCTCGCGTAAGAGGTCATTAAGAAAATGAAGAAGGCGGCCACCAAGATTCTGAAGAGATTAGAGAAGGCTCCCCTGGAAACATGTAAGGCAGAAGCCACCAAACACCATGACGATCAAGAAGATGATGACCATGATCTTCATGAGGGGGAGAAAAAGGCTGAGAAGAAAGATGAGCCAAAGAAGACTTCTGCCAAAGGCGTCAAGATAGTGGACTCTACAGCTGCCTTGTTCTTAAAAGGGAAAGAAAAGGCACCAGAGCCTAAAGACAAAGGCAAAGGCAAAGCTGTGGAGGAGACACCACAAAAGGGGTCGTCAAGCTCAGAGTCGCTAGTGCAGATAAACGAAGAAGATTATGACGACCCAGAGCTCCTTCAAGCATTAAAGGCTTCCTTGGAAGAAGCTCAAGCAAGAAAGGGCAGAGGCCCCATCCACAGAGCAGGTGAAGGCCCTTCATCAAAATTCCCACAAGTCGAAGGAGAAACGTCCACAGGTATGTTCGACGCTCTGCAAGGAACCGTCAAACCTATCCTTGCAGAGGGGTCAACCCAGAGGCCAATTCTTGAAGAAGAGGAAGCTAAAGTGCCAAAGTCTGCCACAGTAGGAAGGGTCTCTGAGATATTCGAATCAATGGGCAAGATTCCCATGCAACAAGTACGTACAGAGCCTGTTACTACTGTGGAAGAGATTTTGATGTGGAGATACTCTGCAGTGGACACAGAGCCCCCCTATGATCCAGAGCTCACAGGTATTCCTTCTGCTGATGCCAAGTACCAGTTCTCTAAGCTCACCAGGCCACGTGAGCAAGTCTTCTCAGAGCACGCAATTGTGTCACTTGAAACAATTTCTCCAAGGACCCTGCTGAAGAGGAAGGTGCTCTATGCTCAATACGTTGTGAAGAAGAATGACGGCAACCTGTACAC